TTACGACTACGACCATTGTAGACAACCGAGAATCATTGCCTGCGTTCGTTTTCTCCCACCGGGAGCATAAACTATACTGAAAGTCTATAATTTACGTAACGTAAACTATAGAGTTTCAGTATAGTTTATGCTCCCAGTGGGAGAAAACGAACGCAAGCATTGTAGCGGAGGCTTTAAGCCGGCTCCACACGGCGTGCGCGCGATACCTGGGGCTCGATTCTTGAATTTATTCGAAGGAGAAACGTATACGAAAATTCTGCTCTTACAGAAAACTTGCAAGTTGATTGGCTATTCGCATGGCTTTAACCAATCGACTTTCAACTTTTCTGTCAGAGCAGAATGTTCGTATACGTTTCTTCTTCGAATAGATTCAAGAATCGAGCCCCTGGGCCCCGCGGCGACGAATCAACGTCCTGGACACCGCGCGAGGGTGGACTTCTCGACGCGAGAGAGAAGAGATACAGCGCGAATACTTTTCTTACGCGAAAGAAACTTCCTAGATCTCGTTTCTCGAATATTTAATTAGGAGCCGAAGGGACGAGAAATGCGTGTGGAGACACACGAGATGCTTCCGGTCGATAATTGACCTGTCACTTGGCGAGATTAAAATAGCCGGCGTTGTCTGTCTACGTTGGACGAATGTGTATGGCTCGTGTTATCTCTTTCACAATGCGCTTCCTGAACGCTACGCCGTGTACATGACGCGTCTTTATTATTAAGTTCGAACGCTATTAATACGCGGCTAGAATAACAATTGGCATGGCCTGCGCGTTGCATAAATCGGATTGCAATATACTCGATGACTGACGGGGATGGAGACGGTGGAGGACATGGACAGCTTGGACGACAAGCTGTTCAGTAATGCATTCAGGCGAAATCCACCCGCTGAGAACAGCAAAAAGAGAATTACGTTTGCAGGTTCAATCAGAGCGCGGTTGATCGACGCGCACAAAGTTGCCCTTTTGAAAACGCTCGGCAGGCTTCTCAGGGGCTCGATCATGAAAACTCGTGAAACATTTCATTAACGAATTCAATATGTTGTCAATGCAGACTTTCGCGAGTTGACGCTAGAGAAAAAGATACATGGTCGAGTCTCGGAGCTCTTTCTTTTTCCTTGTATTTTTACGCGTAGATCGCCTCATCTATCTCTAACTTGTAGACGAGGACGACCCGCTAGCTAGTCTGCTGGCCGACAAAGAGGATCCGCCGCCAAGCCAAAGAAATCCAGTAGCGGTGAAAGATAGACGGAGCTTAATAGACGACTTGTTTAATAAGAAAACCTCCAATGAGTCGCTGTCGAGCTCGAGGCTGGACGAGACGAGGGAGACGGGCTCGACATCCGCGCTAAACGCCATGGGAATCGAGAGGCCGAAGACGTCGGACGACAAGGCGAAGAAGTTGTCGCTGATGCAGAATTTGTTCGGCGACACGTCGAAAGAGTCAATTGGCAAGAAGCCCGTACAGCTGGAACCGGAAGCGACGCAGTCCGCGGCCGAGGTTTCCAGGTCGACGTACGCGCCGACGGCTTTCGGAGCGAGAGAGCCTCGTAGAGGCAAAAGAACCACGGAGATAATTAACGATCCTCTAGGATTGTTCTCGGACGCAGCGTCAAGTCAGGCCGGGCAGGCTGTAAATATATAAATCCGATAAGTTCCTGCAAAGTGTTTTAATAATGTCTTACTTTGCTTTCTACTCGTTGTTGATATTCAATTTATTTAACTTCAGCCTTTAGCCAAGAAGTGGACTCGCTTTGCAGAAGGTTCTTTACAAACTCACTCATGCCTGCACTCGTGCGTCATTCCTCGCTACGTTAACATACGTACCTTTCCTTACTTGCTACGACTAGCGTTACTGCCTTTCCTAGTTTGCACTTATTTGTACCTACGTTTATACATTTTTTATCTTATCCTAAATAATATTCCTCTCTAACGTTATTGCACTTTGCACGGGACATGCATTCTATTATTTGTACCTGTATTGTTACTATGCTTAATAATTCTTTTGTAATTTTATAGACCACAGAAAGACGTGCGGCGCCCGCGGATGTTAGTAGACAGAAAATGGAACCTAAAGAATACTTACCAGATTGGTTGGAACCTAGAAAAGCACCGGAGGAGAAAAGTGGCGATTATATTCAGGACAGAGTGACGCCTACCGAAGAATTGTTTAGCAAGCACGGAAGATCCGGCTCTGATAAAGTTATTCAAGGGGTAAGCAGCAACACTAATATACGATAAAAGTGGTTTTATTCTTATTAAATAATTTATTATAGACAAACGTACCGCAAGAGGATAGGACAACAGTAGCTAAAATACTGCCACACGAGAAAGACAGAGTGTCAAAATTGGACAATCAAAAGATAGAAATCAACGAACATGAGAAACAGGAAATGGAAGGAAATTATTATAAAGTAAGACTCCAAGTCATTTTTTGAGAAAAGGGACTTGTATATGTGTGATTATATTATATTACATTATGATGCAGTCCGGCACACACACAACGGCTGTTCCAATTACCTCAAGTGTAAATACAAATTCGGAAGATGCGCCTAGTTTGATTCCCAAAAACATGGGCTACGAAAATACAATTCATAAATTAGAATTAGAAAAGTCTCACCTATCAGTGACGTTGCACAGCTTAAGTGAAAAGTATGAAAATGAGATAATGTTTCTAGACGAATCGTATAAGTAAGTAGAATTATCGTTGAAGTAAAACATTGGCGATTCTTTTTCAAAAATTATTCATACAATTGTTCCTAAGGCGACAAATAGGATTCTTGCAAGAAAGAACGGACACGTTGGAAAAGAGAATGCAGCAAGAACTTGAGTGTTTAGAGGCGGATTACGAGGCGAAGATTGAAAAGCTAAGAAACGAGAAAGTACAAATGGAGACGTTTTACAAGGACGAGTTGCAGAGTTTAAAGGTATAAAATTGTACTTTTAAATTGTCAATGTATCGTTAGTTGTACTATTAACATTAGCAATTTATTAATTTTATTTAGAAGGAACACGCGCAATTTACAGAGGAAGTTTATGAACGCCATTCTCAAAATATAAGACTGCTGCAGAAAGAGCATTTTGATACGATAGAAAACATATTGAAAATGAGAGAGGTGGAGAATTTAGCTATGACAACTATAGTGACTCATAAGACTGACTTGCAAAATTTGTTGCAAAAAGCTGATTTTATTATAGAAAATATTAAAAATGTGCAAGAAAAGACTGACCAAAGAGACGACCAAAGTGTAAAGTTAAGAGAATATTATTTTAAAAGTAAGGAGGAAGACGTGCAGGGTATGTTTCAGAGAGATGCTGTTAGATAAATAATTTTTAAATAATTCGTAGTTTTTATTCACTTTATATTGTTGCAGTACAAAATGTGGAAATAAAGAAGCAACAGAAATCACTGGAACAAGAACGTGAGAAAATAATGAAAGTAGCTGACAGATTAGATTCGCACGTTGCGCAATTAATGCTCGAGTTAGGGAAAAAGAGTACCATGCTCAATCAGGCATTGGAAACATTACAAAAAAGAGAACAATCTTTGTCGCATGAAAAAGAATTGTTTGAGGAAAAAGTACAGTGGGAGCGTAATCATTTACAGGTAATTATCTAGTATCGATAATTAATATCTGAATGTGTATTAAAATACATCTGAATGTGTATTGTCTACAATGTATTATCAAGGCAATGAAAGAATCTTGGTTTAACGAACAAGAAAGGCAGTTGAAGACTTTAGCAAAGGAGAAAGAAGTGATCGCGGCTAAGAAGAAACAATATGAAGTTTTGAGAACGATAAAAAGTAATTCGGATAATATTACAAGGATAGAGGTAAAGTAAGAAAATTAATCTATGAAATAGAGTGTATACTTTAGAAGTCAATAAAAAAAAGTATTGTTTCGTAGTCGACAGCTGCTATAAAAGCAGCACAGGATGCCACTGTACTCGCGAATCAGGAAAGACTGAAATGGCAAGAAAAACTTAAATATCTCGAAGTGCAGCAACAGACCTTGGCGGAAAGGGAATACCGGCTCTTGGCACGCGCCCAAGATCTCGAGGGTTTTACACAGGTAAAAGATAATCGAATGCGATTTAGATGGATGGCGTTAATATATTTAATTAATTCATTATCTAGATAGCATTTGCGAAAAATGAAGAGGCCGTTAAAGCACTGAGGGACGCTCATCACATCGAAAGTGAGCGTAAAGCCAAATTCGAGCCTCATCTTGACAAACTTGAAAAGATCAACTTGGCAAGGTAACATGATTCAATTGAGTTGAAGTTTCAATAGTATAAAAGAAAAACTAACGTGCTTAAATAACTTTCGATTTTTTTCAGCGAAAAACTGGCTTTAGAAAAATTGAAAAGAAATACAGGTGTCCCGTACAACTATGTAGATAAGCGAACATTATCTAATCAGCACGAGTTTCAAGTTACTACTCACTTTACAGTAAGAGGAAAATAATTATGAGACGCACAATAATAATCAAATTCATTATATTTTAAATAATTTTCTAACTCAATATTTTACGATGTACATATAATTATTTTTCAGGAAGTCGTTGATCCTCAATTAGTAATGTTGAAGTTGAATCTGGACGATCAATTGGATAACATTCAATATATGTGACTGCCATGAGATTTTGATACAACATTCGACAAATGTGTGTTATATACTTTTCACGAAAACACCGTCTGCTTAAGTATTTTATACGTTATATTCTAAGTAACAGACAATAAAAGTCGATATATTTATTGTTCGATAGTTGACTCGCTGTCCATTGAATCGCCATTGAAAATATCTAAACTCACATTCTCATCTGAAAATAATACATAGCTCTTAATCATTGTATCTAATCATTAATTATTCCATTACAAATAAATTCTCTTCTTTTTTAGCTACATTCAACGCTACACATCATTTCAATCTTCAGCAATGTATTACAACTAAAGGCCTTCACACACGAATCTACGTAACACGTAAACCGTAAGGAAATCAACAGATTGGATTTGCTACTGCTTGCGTTATTGCTTTACGTTCTCGACTGTGATTGGTCGATTTCCTTACGGTTTACGTGTTAAGTAGATTCGTGTGTGAAGGCCTTAAAGGTGTTAAATGAAACGTAGAAATCAGACATTACCGTTAGTACTATTGCTACTGTTCAAGATATGCTGCTGGAGCGCCGCTATATTTCCCTTCAGTGTTTCCAGTTGAGCGATACTACACTTTGTTTGATATAACTTGTTTTCTACAGTTTCCGTGCACGTTGTCTAAAGGATAGATTAAAAAGTATAGCTGTGCCCCCTTAAGGATACCATATTTTGTTTTTTAGGTTTCTTAGATTAAAAATCTGTTAATAACAATGCGATATATACAAAAAAATTCTTTACACCATTTTCAACGGGCGACTGGTCACATTGCCTAAACGTTCTCTAACATTACTTTCGTTAATTTAAGTTGTTTTGTATAGAAGCCTTTACATTTTCTAACCATATTTTGTCTGCAATGTCTGAATAACTTGTCATATTTACCACATCTCGAATCAAGCTTAAAGGATCCACATTATTCTCCTTGACATTAGCGAACGCTTTGTGAATGCCATCTGCTTTGTTTAAGAATTCAGTCGCATCGACGAACATGGTCTTCATGTCCCTGAAAGAGAGTGTCAGAGTTTCATGGAGAGTCCAGGGCAGAAAACAGACGGTTTGTACGTACTGTGCATAATCGTGCGGCACAGGCAGGCCCGAGACGTCCTTCGTGGAGTGTACAATTTTATGTATGGAGTGCTTTTGCGACGTAATCGTACCGAGGTGTTTCGCGATGTTCTTCTTGCATTGTTCTCTTTCCTCTACGAACAACGGGACGTTTACGCGCAATAATTGCGACACAATTCTCCGTAGAGCGGAGCAATCGATTCCGATTAAACATAATAATAGAGCAGAGCTTACTCTGCAAGCCGCGCAATTCTTTCATGAACTTCTTGTGCTCCTTAGGCTCCGCGTCGAGACGGTCCAGCTCATGTTGATTGGCAAGCCTTTTCTGCTGCACAACCTTTATAAAAAGTTCGATGTCCTCCATTTACACGGATCACGCGCTGAAAAACAAGGCGTAAAAGATATGTCGCAAATTAGCATCCATTATCAGGCTTGTATTCCATTGTTGCATTGGTGAACTAGTGCAGTAAGCTCGAATGAGAAACAAATAGACTTGTCTTACGCTAATTTGTTGGACTAGCTCGCCAGTGTAGCGACAGCAAACAAGCCTGTTACAATGGCAATCACTTTTCAAAACACTGCTCGCGAAAAGCCGTTTTCTCCAGTTTCATTTGATAAGTTTTCAAACAAACTTCTATGCATAGGGAAAGGCAGGCTGAGCAACCTCGAAATTACGATATTTCCCAATGGTCTATTTTCCTCATACATACTTCGTGGCCGGCAAGAACTGGCAAGCGCTAACTTCTGCTGGACACAGGCACTGACTCGGTTTCTCATCTAGGCTTCCAAGCGATCCGTGGCCCGTCATGGCGGAACTAACATATGTATTCGCGCACGTGTACTGACGTGTAGCGTGCCCGGTTGCGTTTTGTTGCGGCTCTGACC